TCCTGGAACTCACTAGGTAAACTAGGCTGGCCTTGAACTCAGAGATCCGCCTGCCTCTGCCTCCCGAGTGCTGAGTGCTGGGAGGCACTGGGATGTAGTGGTTTGCCGCTGCATCCCTGAACTCCTGGGCTGGGGAGGCAGAGGAGGAGGCCCTCCAAAGCCTCTGGACCAGGCAGAAGTGGGTCGCTGCAGAACCAAGAAAGACTGCGTCTCAGCCAATGGAAGGTGATGAGAAGTGACTCCGGAAAGGTGCCTTCTCATCCTCATTCACAGACTGTGGCTCCCTAGCCACTCCCTATATAAACAAGGAAAGTATTTTTCATTAAAAATTAAAAAAGAAATAAAATTCCAATCCAGGATAGTGGCTCACATTGAACTCTCAGCATTTGGAGGCCAAGGCAGAGAGAGCAGAAATGTAAGAACATCTTCATATACATCGTGAACTTAATGCCAGCATGGGCTATGTGAGACCTTGTCTTAATAAAGCGATAATAGAAATAACTCAAAATGGAGGCTGGAGAGGTGGCTCATTGGTTAAGAGCACCGACTGCTCGTTCAGAGGTCCTGAGTTCAATTCCCAGCAACCACATGGTGGCTCACAATCATCTGTAATGAGATCTGGTGCCCTCTTCTGTATACATAATAAATAAATAAATCTTAAAAAAAAAAAAAAGAAAGAAAGAAAGAAATAACTCAAAATCAAGTTCTTAAGGAGCACTAGCATTCACTTGCTCTTCTGCAGAAGGCCGAACACTCCAATCGAGTTAACTCTGACCAGCATCCCATGAGATCTGCAGTGTTAGCCTAGTTTTTACAGAACACTAGGTAGAATCTTAGGAGCCTGAGGCAGGAGGATGTTTGAATCCAGGAGTTTAAGACCACCTTGAAAAACACAGACAATTTCAAAAGACGAAAATTAAAAATGTAATAAGAATGTCTTTACAAAGCCCATTATTATGCATAATTAATATATGCTAATAAAAATAAGTTAAAGCATCTGTCACTATTCTGGAGAGCATTCCCTGCCATTTTTCTATCCAGACAACAAAAATAGGCACATCTGTGTCTTGAGTCTTTCATATATGATACGCTTCTCCCCTCCCGTGTGGAGCAGGGTGGGCATGAGTACGATGTTTCAAATTCAGACAGATATAAACTTAACACATAAACACTAGTTTATGTGTCTCCGCTGTAAAGAGCACTCAAGGCTGTTGTAGAGGACCTGAATTCAGTTCCCACATGATGGCTCCAATCGTCGATAACTCCAGTTCCAGGGGATCCAACTCCATCTTCTGGCCTCCGTGGGCACCAGGCACACACATGGTGCACATACATACATGCAGGCAAACACTCAGACATATAAAATGAAAGTAAGTGCATCTTTTTTTAAAAAAGCTTGTACTTGGAACTCTGAGTAATAATACTAACATTTCCAGCCACTTCTTACAGACTTGATGCTGCTTTAAATACTTAGTATTTACTTGTCTAAGCTTCACAAAAAAAACAAAAAAAAAAAAAAAAACCTATAAGATGGTTGCTGTTACTATTTTGTATCATCCTCAGTTTACAAATGAGCAAATCATAGTAGAAAGAAGTGAAAATAACACACTCGGGGGCTATGGGGAGAGAGTCTGGTTTCTTTTTTTCTTTTTCTTACTCTTTTCTTTGTATTGAGATAGGACCTTTCTAGGTAGGTTTGGCTTGTCAGGAACTTCCTAGGTAGACCAGGCTAGCCTCAAACTCTCAGAGCTTTGCCTGCCTCTGCCTCCTGGGATTAAAGGTGTGTACTACCATGTCAGGTGGAAGTCAGTTTCTAAGCTGGCTTTGGAGAGCAGGCATGTGACTTAGTCTTGAACCATTCTGTGCACCTGTGGTCACTGCTCTAGTAGCCATTACTATCATCTCACACATTTTAAAGTGAATAAAATACTGGCCTTTAAGGGTTCCTAGTTGGGGAGAAGTAATAGGAAGGTAAACAATTCACCTAGCACAAGGCAAAATGTAACATAAACTGAAGAAACAGATACAGGACATACTCAGTTTTAGCACCTAAAGAAAACTGGTGTGCTAAGTGTTTTTTTTTTTTTTTTTTAAGATTTACTTATTTTGATTTTATATGTATTTTGTCTTATCTGCATGTATGTATGTGTACCATGTACATGCTTGGTACCCTGGGAGCCAGAAAAGGGCATCTAGTCCTCTAGGATGGAAGTTACAGATGGTTGTGAGCCACCATGTGGGTGTTAAGAATTGAACCCCTGTCCTCTAGAAAAGCAGCCAATGCTCTTGAGTGCTGAGCCATCTCTCCAACCCTGGGGATTACATTTAATTACAGTAATTGATGTGGGAGAACCCAC